GGTGTGTGGAGGAGCTATGAGGCTCTTCTCTGTTGACCATTGTCTTCTGCCCTGCTGACCCCCGTCCTCTGCCCTGCTGACCCCTTCTCTCTACACTGATGACCCTATCCTCCATCCTTGTGACCTGATAACCCCTTTTCTCCACCCTGCTGATCCTTGTCATATGCTCTGTTGCCCCTTATCATCTACTCTGCTGACCCCCTGTACACTACCATACTGACTCTTGTACATTGTCCAGCTGCACACTGTCCTCTTCTCTGATAACCCCATGTACACTGTCCTACAAACTAATGGCTTCTATAGACTGCCCTATAAACTGCTGATCCTATCCTCTGCCCTACTGACCCCCTGTATACTACCCTACAGAATATGCATAATACCATATCTGAATGCACAACACATCAAACTTTGAAGCAGATGGGCTACAGCAGCAGAAGACCACACCAGGTGCCACTCCTGTCAGCTAAGAACAGGAAACGGAGGCTACAATTCACATAGGCTCACCAAAATGGGAAAATAGGAGATTGGAAAAACATTGCCTGGTCTGATGAGCCTCGATTTACGCTGCGACATTCAGATGGTAGGGTTAGAATTTGGTGTAAATAACATGAAATCATGGATCCATCCTGCCTTGTATCAACGGTTCAGGCTGGTGTTGGTGGTGTAATGGTGTGGGGGTATTTTCTTGGCACACTTTGGGCCCCTTAGTCCTAACTGAGCATTGTTTAAATGCCATGGCCTCCCTGATTATTTTTGGTGACCGTGTCAATCCCTTTCTGATTACAGTGTCCTCATCTTCTGATGGCTACTTCCAGCAGGATAATGTCACAAAGCTCAAATCATCTCATACTGGTTTCTAGAACATGACAATGAGATCCCTGTACTCCAATGGCCTCCACTGTCACCAGACCTCAATCCAATAGAGGACCTTTGGGATGTGGTGGAACGGGATATTCTCATCATCTATGTGCAGCCGACAAATCTGCAGCAACTGCGTGATGCTATCATGTCAATTTGGAACAAAATCTCTGAGGAATGTTTCCAACACCTTGTTGAATCTATGCTACGAAGAATGAAGGCAGTTCTGAAGGCAAAAGGAGGTCCAACCCGGTACTAGCAAGGTGGACCTAATAAAGTGGCCGGTGAGTGTATATCATGGACTTACCTCATTGCCAAGCTTCCATGTTATGGCTTTAGTATTCATTTGTAATTGCTGATCTTCTGGTGCCCAGGATGTAAAATTTCCCACATCATTATAAATCATAGTGTGATAATCCTTAAATACCCAATTTGTAATTTTGTAATGATAAACAAATTCTCCGTATTCATTAAAAAATGATCTTGGCTCGAGTAATCCAAATTGATATTTAATTTTTTTTAAAAGATGATACAACTTCAATTTGAACATAGAAAGATAAAATGTGTTAAGTAAAGAAAAGTAACAGGACAAAGGGAAATCAATATTTATATCCAGCCCCCAGTGTCCATCAGATTATCTCCTGATCTTGTAGAAAATAATCAATATACTTAGTTGTCACAAACTGAGCATAGTGGAGTGACCTGGACCCTACTCTGACTATGTCTGGGTTCCCTGAGGAGTGGAGTCTGAAGAACAGGCAATATTCACTAGGGACCCCTCACAGAGGTTTGGACTATTTTCCTAAGGTTGCTTCCCCAGATACTAGCAGACTGAGAAGGAAGAAGCCATAGGACCACTAGCAGGGACCACTAGCAGAGACGATCAGAACACTAGAGAGAAAACCGAGATACTGGTGGACAGTCATATATCATATTAGGGACAGATCAAGCAGTGTTTGCAGGGAGAGCTAGTTGCTGCTGTTGATTGCTGAAATCTTATACTGTATATTTACAGTAAGTCAAAGACACACCTAAAGGAATTCATAAAGAGTGTTTATGACACCAGACAGCCTTCTTATGGCTATAGATACTGCCCGATGCCTGATATCAATCAAAAGTAGAAAGTGGACACATGGGGGAACTAGTATCTCAGCGTCCCCATCATCCACTGTGGCATCATTTCATATCTTCGGCGTTCATTTCATATATGCGTTGGTCCTGGTGGATTAGAAAATATTTTGCAGGTTTTTTTTTAAAGATTGTTATATATTGGTTTTCGGCTGGATTCGTTATTCATATATAATGATTTTTTCAAAGCTAAGAATTGCATTAGACTGTGGAACTGAACTGACTGACTGTGACAATTACAAATTCAATTTAAATCCTAACTTTACTTCAATCTGAATTATCGAACAAACTTGAAAATTGAATTTGTTACTATCATTGTAACATTTTTCGGACTCATTGACGCGTTATTATGTCTCGTCAGAGACTCAAATACATTGGAATCTCCAAAAATCAAATTTTTGTCCAAAAATTGATTTGTTACAAAACTAAACACACATGTCTAGTCGCCTGTAAAGTCAACAGCATCATTAACAACCAGTGACAGGTAGAAGGGGAGGCAGTAGATGCAACAAATCTGCCACTCGGCTACACAGCAGAGGACAGAGACAGACACAAGTCTTATACACCTCCACTTTCATTATCTACAAACTGAAGGAAATTACTTGTTAATTGTAAAACTGTCATTATTATTAACTCCCTGAATCTTCTGCACATGTTGACAACGCTATCAAAACAGAAGGCAGGGCTTTTTGTAGCAGCCACAGGTTATTTGAAGGGGTTGTATGTCCGGAAAAGTGTCAGTAGGCATTTGTTGAGTCCTGTAGCAGGTCTTATGGCCTGGTATGATACAGGAAGGGGAGGGGGAGGGCACACATTTGTTCCCCACTTTTCTGGCCATCCAGACTGCATGATCTGTTTAAGGCTCTGCTACGGATTTTTAAGGCAACTTCACACTTTTTTTTTTTTGTTTTTGTTTTTTTTTGCATGAGAAAATCTATACCAGATCCAAAGAGTGTGTTATGGATTTCCTGGGAACCCTCATGCATTTGTTTATTTTATTTTTTTAGTAGCCCTTTAAAAATACCAGACTCAGAGTATGTTTCTTATGGCTTTTTTTTAAAATAACAAACATATTACACTTAACTTCTCTCTACAATTGCATAGAGCAGCCCCAATCCTCCTTTTCTTGGGTCACTTGCTGCCGAGTGCCCCCAGAGCAAGCCACTTGCTCTGGGGACACTCATGCATGCTCACTCCAGAGCAAGCCCTGTAAGTCCATAAGACACACAGAGTTCAACTTGGCCCCGCCCCCAGATCCCTCCTGGCTGGCTGTGATTGACAGCTGCAGGAGCCAATGGCTCCGCCTGCCTTGCCTGAGCAATGAGGAGGGAGAGAGCTAGTAGAGCAGCTGCTCTCATGCACATATCTGGATCGAGATTGGGCTCAGGTAAGTATTGGGGGGTGAGGGGGGAGCTGTACACTGAATTTTTCTACATTCATGCATAAAATGCTTAAAGGTAAAAGACCTTCAACCTTTAGAACCAGTTTATTTGCTGAAAAATGACTTTTGATTACTGGCTTCCTTAACCACTTCAAGTCCGGACACTTTTATCCCCTTCCTGTTCAGCTTTCAGTGCTATTACACTTTGAATGACAATTGCACGCCATGTACCGATATGAATTTTTTAGCATTTTTTTGAGACAGATAAAGCTTTATTTTGGTGGCATTTATTCACCACTGGGATTTTTATTTTTTTTTTTTCATGTAAATGAAAAAGTCAAAAAATTGTGAAAAAAAAATGTTTTTCTTATAAAAGTTTGCAAATAAATAATATTTCATCATAAATCTTGACCACAATTGATTCCGTTATCTTTTTAGTAAAAATAAAAATTACCTAAATTATCATTTTTATATTCAAATAGTTTTTATTGAAGAAATTTTCAACAATTTACCACAACATATTACACATATATAAAACGAGCAAAGTTCACAATAAAAAATGTATAATCAAGAAAACAAGTAATTATTAGAGAAAACAATTTCCCATTATTTAGCTGGGAATGGTGTAGCAGGGCCTCGGATACTTGAGAGGTATGCTCAGAAGATTGTGAACTAAGTGTGGATGAATATGTGATAAACCGTAGAGGGGAGAAGGGTTAGAAGGGAGAGAGAGGGGGGGCACCAGTCCAATGTGTTGACTACAGTATGGTGATATATTATTGTAGTTGTCACTTAACAGAGCAATTAGGGTCTTGAAGCCACCGAGACCACTGAAAGCAGAATTTGTGGTATGAAAAATTTTGGATTGCTGTTCTCTTTTCCATCTCACAATGGAGATTAAGCTCTATAATGAGGGTTGTGAACAAAGGGGATGTGGTAGATTTCCATAATTTAGTAATATTGTTTTTTGCTATTGCTAGTATATGAATTATGATAGTACGAGAGTCCACAGGAAAATTTTCTATTCCTATATGAAGGAGAGCTATAACTGGGTTTGGAGTCGTTGAAACTGTAGATATGGTGGAGATCAGCTGAAATACTTTGTTCCAATACGATGTGAGAGATTTACATGACCAAAGTATATGGAGGATCGTTCCTATTTCTCCGCAGTGTCTCCAGCACTTGGGCGAATGTTGTGTGTAATAGAGATTGAGCTTAACAGGCGTTAGATACCACTGATGTAAGATTTTCATGTATGCTTCCCAGTGGGAGTTACATTTGGATGCCTTGTATGTGGTATTAAAGGTTTTCGACCAAGTGTAAGGAGAGACTGGTTGTCGGAATATTTTTTCAAAGTTAATCAGGGAAGTAGTGTGTATATTAAACTGAGTGTTATTCATAATGGAGTAGAAGGTTGAGATTCCCTTTTTGAGATAATGTGATCTCTGAAAGAAGAGGTGTGCCCTGGAGGGAATTATTCATTCTTGAGATATATCTACTAGAGATGAGCGAATTATTCAAAAATTCGATTCGGCTGATTCGGCGAATTCGAGGAATAAATTTCGATTCGAGTCGAATATATTCGCTGCGAATTTAACTTATAAAAAGGGTGATTCTAGGCTTCAAAGAGCCTTTATATTAGTGCAGAACACTGTACCTTTAATTTAAATGCCCTTGGAGTCTGCTGGGGAAGAGAAATAATACTGTCAGTCAGTATGACATGCAGATGAGTGCCGTCGATCTTAGAATCACCGCACACACTTCACTCATTTGGGCAGTCACGGGGCCAAAACCAGAGTGTGGAGCCACAGTGTGGCGGTGGAGGCAGCAGCAATGGGAGGCCATACAGCACCCTATGACAAAATGGAACCCACCAGCAGTGTGAGGAGACCTGAAAGTGGCACATGGCAGAGTGTGGCGATGGAGACAGCAGCAATGGGAGGCCGTACAGGGACCCATGACACACTCTGGACCTGGCAGCAGCATGAGGAGGCGGTACAGGGGCCCATGACAGATTACGGGCCTGGCAGCAGCATGAGGAGTCGGTACGGGGGCCCATGGCAGATTACGGGCCTGGCAGCAGCAATGGGAGGCCGTACAGGGACCCATGACACACTCTGGACCTGGCAGCAGCATGAGGAGGCGGTACAGGGGCCCATGACAGATTACGGGCCTGGCAGCAGCATGAGGAGTCGGTACGGGGGCCCATGGCAGATTACGGGTCCTGGCAGCAGCAATGGGAGGCCCGTAATCTGCCAGCACCCTATAACAAAATGGAACCCACCAGCAGTGTGAGGAGACCTGAAAGTGGCACATGGCAGAGTGTGGCGATGGAGACAGCAGCAATGGGAGGCCATACAGGGACCCATGACACACTCTGGACCTGGCAGCAGCATGAGGAGGCGGTACAGGGGCCCATGACAGATTACGGGCCTGGCAGCAGCATGAGGAGTCGGTACAGGGGCCCATGGCAGATTACGGGCCTGGCAGCAGCATGAGGAGTCGGTACGGGGGCCCATGGCAGATTACGGGCCTGGCAGCAGCAATGGGAGGCCCGTAATCTGCCAGCACCCTATGACAAAATGGAACCCACCAGCAGTGTGAGGAGACCTGAAAGTGGCACATGGCAGAGTGTGGCGATGGAGACAGCAGCAATGGGAGGCCGTACAGGGACCCATGACACACTCTGGACCTGGCAGCAGCAGCATGAGGAGGCGGTACAGGGGGCCCATGACAGATTACGGGCCTGGCAGCAGCATGAGGAGTCGGTACGGGGGCCCATGGCAGATTACGGGCCTGGCAGCAGCAATGGGAGGCCGTACAGGGACCCATGACACACTCTGGAACCTGGCAGCAGCATGAGGAGGCGGTACAGGGGCCCATGACAGATTACGGGCCTGGCAGCAGCATGAGGAGTCGGTACGGGGGTACGGGGGCCCATGGCAGATTACGGGCCTGGCAGCAGCAATGGGAGGCCCGTAATCTGCCAGCACCCTATGACAAAATGGAACCCACCAGCAGTGTGAGGAGACCTGAAAGTGGCACATGGCAGAGTGTGGCGATGGAGACAGCAGCAATGGGAGGCCGTACAGGGACCCATGACACACTCTGGACCTGGCAGCAGCATGAAGAGGCGGTACAGGGGCCCATGGCAGAGTGGCGAAGCATAAGCAGCTTAAATTGAAGGCCATACAGAGGCCTATGTTAAAAATAATAACATGTTTGGGGCATGATTCATGGCGGTATTTAGTCAGTTGTGTCAGGAACTGGTGGTTTGAAATCCAGACTAATCCACGCCTGATTCATTTTCACAAACGTGAGTCTCTCCACACTTTGGGTGGACAGTCGTGTCCTCCGCGGAGTTTACAATACTCCTCCCCGCACTAAAATCACGCGCTCCGATGCGTGACCCTCCATAGCGCTACTGGCCGGGCATGACAGCCTTTCAAGGGCAAATTCAGCTAGTTTGGGGCCAAAGGTCAAGTTTCGTTGCCCAGTAGTCAAGGGCATTGTCTACCTCGGTTGGCAGGGTGCTGTCCAAGTAGGCCCAAGCCTGTTTGTTTAAGGTCCTGCTCCAGGTCCACCTGATGCTGCTGCTGCTGCGGCTGGTTAGTAGTTTCCTCACTGCGCTGGTGAAGAAAGCTACTCATCATCGACTGCAGACTGAGGCAGCCGCTGCTGGTGGAGCTGCCACTGCTCCTACCCACCCCACCCCTCCCCTGCTGCCATGGCAGCGGAACGCGAGGAGCGCACAGGGCCCACACAGTGTCTGAGGATGGACGTTGGCGCAGCAAAAGGCAGAGACCCAACTGACTACATTATGGTGTTTTATTAAAAGTACGTTATTTTGGCCTCCCTCTCAGCAAAAAATATGTTGTGAAAAAGGCCACCAATATTGAACGGGGTAGCTAGGGTCCCAAACAAGTTGGACACCCAAAAGGGGCATCCCTCTGTCCGATGGTTTAATTATTCGGCTGGCCTGACGCTACGACGCAAAGCAACCGAGCATAGCAAATAGGGGCCAACTTGCGTGCCAAGGTAATGCGAGGGACTTCCCTCGTCCTCCCTCTCCACAGCAATACTGCCTACGTTTCGTCTGGGTCCCCTCCTGTCTCCACCGTCCTCCTCCTCTAACCAGACATGCTCCATGCTCCACTCCACTATAAATGTCCTGTCCGCTGAGTGGAAAAACCCACCCATTTGTTCAACTCAATAATTCCTTGAGACAGCAAATGTCCACCCTCTACACTCCAACTCTCTTGCTTCCTGTCCTGGGGCCTCCACACAGGGGTCATAGGTAGGCGTTGAGTATCTGTTGCGACACGTCAACCGGACAACCCATGACCCAGCCATTGTTAACAGCATTGTTCCGAGGACTGCAACAGAGAATGACGTCGTTCAACAGCCCATATCCTCGCCGACTCACGAATAGCGTGGCCTCCTCAAAGGGGGCCCGAGCAAGCGGAAAGGGGTCACGTTTTTGAGTGCCAAAAGGGCTGACTTTTTTAAGTTACCAAAAAGGGGGGGTTTCCTTTATTCCCCCTTTTTTAACATCAGGAAAACGGTGAGGGGGCCCTTTTTGCTGTTCGTTAAAGGCGGTCTAACATGGTAGGGTTGAATTCCCCCTTGTTTTTTAAATCGCAGATCCCGGCGTTTTCCCCGGGGGAATTCCGGGGTTTTGCCGCTGCGCTTTAAGGGGGTGTGCTTGGGGGTGTAGGGGAAAGGGTGAAAGGGGAAAAGCAAAGTTTACGTTTTAAAAATTATTTAAGGATGACTTGTTTGTGGGAAGGTTGGGTTTTAGGAACCCCTTGACAACCGATTGAAAAACCCCGAGGGCCCTGCATTTGGGGCAAAGGCAAACCTTCCCCTTTACGCAGAAGGGAAAAACCAAGTTCTTTCCAGTTGGCGGGGCAACATTTGGGTTTCCCATTTTCAGTTTTTTCGCGGAGA